GAAAGAGTGAAATGAAGGGCACATTTATACCTGGTGAAAATCTCCAGATGTATGTGCCATAGCAATGACATATGGTATTTCATTTCAGAATAAAAATAGTTTGCTAAACAAAAGGATAACCCCAGATTGTTTTATTTTCTATTGTGAGCAGTACTTTTGTAAAATTCAGCTTCCTGTTTGATAAATGGAAACATATAATAAAATGCTTTGTCCATATTTTCAATAGAAAACGTTAAAGAGTAAGACAGATGAGGCAAACAAAACGTAATCCAAATGTATTCAATGACACAGGGTGACTTTCACATTCTCTTTCTTTTAACACTCTCTTAAATTATATTAAGACTCTGCATTTTCCTTCTGTTGCCTGGCAAGACTGTCTCAGGTTTTGTTTACTTTGTCTTTTCCCTTTTTATTTCAATGATGTGTTGCCATCAGCCTCCTCTAGCTGAGGGAGGGGTGAGGGTCGATGGGCTGTGTCCCCAGGGGCTGAAGTTCTCCTGATAGAGAAGATTGGCTGCCAGGCTCCAATAAAAGCCAGGGTCCCCTCCAAATTCAGGGAGTGGGGGAAAGTAATGAAGTTATCTTCTACCTAACATGTGTGAGAGTTAGAACTTGAAGAAGCAGCTTGTGGAGAGCTAAAGTGGCCCAATCACAGGTCTCTGGCAGAAATTTCCTCTGTAGCCCATGAAGGGTACTAGTAATAGCGTTTGCATCATCCCAAGTTGGTTTGACTTCCTTCTTAGGAATTGCCAAAGTCAACCTGCTTCGGGGAAGCTTTCTTCATGGCTTTCCAGACAAAGACCTGGTCCATTTGGTTCCCAGGTCTAGCAGCAGCTGGCACATAGGATACACTCCATAAATATGAGTGAGTGAACAGTCTGACACCAAGGCAAGAGTTCTTATCTTCATGTATTTTTCCAACTGTGAAAGGGTCTAAGCTTTGTAGTGATGTCTGGATGAACAAAGGGTCCCACACTCCCCAGCCTGATTGCAAGTTCCTAAAGGCAAGAATTATGTAATATTTCTCTATCTCAGGTTTAGCATCTAGCTGTGTTCTTTTCTTTAAGTTATTTAACAAACACATTTTTTACACCAGGCGTTCTTCCAAAATCTTTACAAAAAGCTAATTCAGTCATCATGACAACCCTATGAAGTAGGTACTACTGGTAGCCCTATTTTACAGAAGAGAGACAGAGGCACAGAGAGCTTAAGTAACTTGCTTAAAGTCACACAACTAAATGGTGTTTCTCACATCGATGTTTCTCTCTCTCTCTCTCTCTCTCTCTCTCGTCAATAAGAACATACCCTCAGGTGAGGATTAAAATAAAATAAAATAAAATAAAATAATTTTTGCTCCTTGGCTTAAAAAGTAAATAAAACCGTAACAAGTTATAAACACTTTCTTCCAACTACAAAAACATAAAACCATCAGACTGTGAATCATTTGAAGTACTCAAAATCATGACACTGACTTCCAGATAAATAAGTAATTACTGTATTCACTTAGTAGGAAATTAAACAAACTCACAACTAGTTAAAGAGGTCAAAATTCAGCTCTGGCCGGGCACCTCAGTTGGATGGAGCATCATCCTGTACACCAAAATGTTCCCGGTTCGATCCCCAGTAGGGGCATATATTGGGAGGCAATGGATTGATGTTTCTCTCTCTCCCTTCCTTCTCTAAAATCAATAAAAACATATCCTTGGGTAAGGATTATTTTTAAAAATCCAGCCTGGTGGTCGAGGCTCAGTGGATTGAGCATCATTCCTTGGCCTGGGAGGTTGCTGGTTCCATTCCCGGTCAAGGCACATGCCTGGGTTGCAGGTCCGATCCCCACTGGGGGCGTGCAGGAGGCAGCCCATCGATGTTTCTCTTTCACATTGATGTTTCTATCTCTTTCTCCCTTCCTTTCTCTAAAACATTAATAAAAACCTATTAAAAAAAAAAAAAAAGTCCAAAATTCAGTTATTCTGTTGGGCAGTTGTAATAGTTTTCTGGGGCTGCTGTACCAAAGTACCACATACATACTTGGTAGCTTTAATAACAGAAATGCATTGTCTCACAGTTCGGGAGGCCAAGTCCAAGGTAAAGGTGCCAGCAGGGTTGGTTTCGTCTGGGGGCTGTGAGGGAAGAATCTGTCCCAGGCCTCTCCTTAGCTTGTAGACCGCTGGCTCTTCCACCTGTGTGTCTTCATGTCATCTTCCCTCTATGTGTGTCTGTCTCCATGTCCAGTGCCTCCCACCCCACCCCCCTTTTTTCTGTTTGCTTGTGTTTTAGGTGTTATAGCTGCAAAATTTTTGCATAATTCAACTTATTCCTAAGTTTTTTTGTTTGTTTGTTTTTCAATTTCCTGTTTTTATAAGGACATTGATCACATTGAATTAAGGTCCACCCTCATGACCTCATTTTAACTTGCTTTCCTCTGTAAAGACCCTATCTCCAAAGAGTCACATTCTGAAGTACTGAGGGTTAGGACTCCTATATGTATTTTTGGGAGGAGGGCACAATTCAACCCATAACAGCAGTATAATATAGGGCTAAGGGCCCAGGTCTGAATTCTAGCTCTGACATTTATTAATTCTGAGAACTTATTTCCTCATACCCCTCCCCCCTTAAATGATGATGAAACAGATAGTACCTGCCTCATGCGGTTGTGAGGATTAAATGAATTAGTACATGTAACACTTAATATACTGGGTAGTACAATATATGTTAGTCATTCATTTAACAAATAGTCATTGAACACTTAGTAAGTGCTGGTCACTGTTCTAGGTGTTTGAGATATAGAAGTAAACAAAATAGGCAACAGTTCTTACCTTCATGGAGCTCTAGTGGGGAAAGAAAAACATTTTTAAAGTAGAATATATAGACTGTCAGAAAGTAATAAGTGCTATGGAGAAAAATAAGGCAAGAGATGGGCTAGAGAGTGTTGAGATTTGCAATCTGGGAACAGAGGTGCCTCACAGAGGTGTCATGTAAGCAAAGACCTGAAGAATGGGAGGAGACAGTTAAGTGGTTATCTGGAACTTTTCAGGTATGAGGTTTCCCCACCTCAGTACTATGACATTTGGGAATGGATAATTCCTTTTTTGTGGGAGGCTGTCCTGTACATTGTAGGATGTTTAGCAGCATCCCTGGCCACTAACCACTAGATGCTAGTATTGGGTACCATGTACTACCCCAGTTGTGGCCATCTGTCTGAAATGGAAAGATGTCTCCAGACATTGCCACATGTCCTGTGGGGGTGCAAAATCACTCTTGCTTGAGAAGCACTGAGCTAGAAATAAAGTGAAAGTGTGTGTATGTGTGTGTGTGTGTGTGTGTAGGGGGGCACCATGGAGAGACAGGGGGAGGGGCTCAGCTTATTTGTGGCACAGTAGGGAGACAGGCAATAGGAGAAAGAATGAACCACGTCACCTATGACCTTGAGGCCAACCTGTAGACATATGGGAAGCCACTGGAGGGGGAAGAGCAAAAAGATAACACAACTAGATCCCTATTTTTAAACGATTCAATTGGCTGCCACATTGAGAATTGACTATATGTAGAAAGACAGAAATGGACAGTCAGCAGGGAGGCTGCCACAATAATCCCATCAATATTTTTTTTAATCTTCACCTGAGGACATTTTTCCATTTTTTGTTCAGATAGAATGGGAGGGGGAGAGAGAGAGAGAGAGAAACGTGAAAGTGACACATGGAGTGGCTGCCTCCTCCAGGACCCCGACCGGGGCCGGGACGAATCCCAACCGAGGTACTTGCCCTTGGCGGCAATCGAACCCACAACTCATTGGTCCACGGGCCGACACTCTAACCCCTAAGCCAAACCGGCCAGGGCCCATTGATTTTTTATTTGGTTTAATGTATTCACTCACTTGGCTGGATGATGGTGGTAGTGCTGAGAAACTTGCACTAGAGAAACTCTGGGGAAGAAAAGAGGAAACAGAATTAGCATAAAAGGAAAAATTTAGGAGTGGGCAAGATGTTTTGCGGAAGTGGAAGGCAGTAGGGTGACTAAGTCGATTTGAAGAAGCAGAGGGACTGTGTAGTACAAAGAGAATGTTGGGAGAAAATTTGTGCACAGGGTCAGGGAACACTACGCTAAGGAATTAGCACTGTAATTTGTAATTAATGGGAAGCCTTTGAAGCTTCAGCAGTAAGGAAAACTTTGCAGTGGTGTGCAGCTCATAGGAGTCAGAATACTTTCAAAAGGAGTCTCCTTAAATAGCATGGGTGAAAGATAACAAGAGCCTAGGTTTAGGTGAAGAGCTTGAGCAAGACTTTCTTAAGGAAGAAAAGTAAGGCCCTGCCCTAAGGACTACAATTACCTTCTTCGGAGTACTTTTGCTTGTACGCAAGTGCAGTCTGTTGTCTCCGCTGGGGAGTCTGGAACTATTTCCACGGCATCTGACATCGTGCAAATGCAGGCCCACCATGGAAACGTTTAAATAATGCTGTACTTTCTTGGGAAGTGTCCCCAGAGGAGGTTCTATTAGATTTTTCAAGGGTCTTTTCAAAAATGCTATTATCTGTAGGTGAGAAAAACTATAGCAACGAAGAAAAAGCAGGTCTGCCATCAGAGTTCTGTCAGGACGGTGGTACATTTCAATTTGTACATTTAAAATGTCTCGGCAGGTTCAGCCTGCAAGTGTAGGTAGTTCAAATCAGTCCCACTACACTGCAGGTGGGAGCATCAGGGCGCCTGCCCCCTCCTTTCCACCTGCTTTTTGCACTAGTCCGATTCGCGAAAGGAGCTTACAAGAGTCATCGGCCCTCTTTACCCTCAAAGACTAAGGCTGTTAACCGACGCAGGGGACCGTCGCCCCGCCGGGAGAGCCACATCGCAGCGGCCGGGTGCCAGCCACCGCCCAGGGCGTGGCGCTGGCTGTGGAGCCCGGCGGGGGGAGGGGCGGGGCTGCGGCCGGGCGGGGCGAGGCGGGGACCGCGCTGGGAGACGCGCAGACGCGCCCGCCCCGCCCACCGCCGCCCCCTCCCGCTCCGCCCGTCCCCCGGCTCTGCAGCTAACCGCACTAGGAGCAGCCCCAGGCAGCGGCACGACGGTCCCCAACATGTCTGCGGCCCTGAGACAAAGGTTCGACCGGTTCCTGCACGAGAAGAATGGCATGACCGACCTCTTAGCCAAGCTCGAGGCCAAGACCGGCGTGAACCGGAGCTACATCGCGCTCGGTGGGTGCGGGGCTGTCGCCGCTCGCCGGGCCCGGGAGCAACTGCTGCACCAGCTGTTGGGGAAGCCACCGGGGAGAGGGTTCGGGGAAGGCGATGTCGGTGACCGATGGGGGCAACGGCATCCTCGGGGACCGAACCGGCCCCCGGAAAGGCCCAGGACCGGAGATCCCTCCTCCCGGGGCGGCCCCGGCCTGGGGGGGCGCGGGCCTGTGCCCGCGGCCAGGTGGCGGAGCGCCCGGAGTGCGGGGAGAAGGGAAGGGCCGGCGCTGACGTGTCTGTCCCCGGGCTGTGCCCCTGTTTGGCGAGGAGCGGCGGGGGCCGCCCGCGGGAGGGCGCGCGGGCCTGGTGGCGGTGGTAGCGGGTCCGAACCAGACCCTCCGCGGAGCCCCGCATCCAGAAGAGTTGTCCCCTCGGGAGGGTAGGAGGCAGCGGGCGGCGCGGGAATCCAGGCCTCTCCGGACCCTCCGTGGAACGGGCTCCCCGGGCTGGTGTGAGGCATGGCGGGAACCCCTGCAGGATGGAGGGCGGGAGGAGGGGTACAAAGGTGGGGCTGCCCGTTATTCCCAGACCCAGGTCTAAACTGTGTGAAGACAGAGGCCCATCCTTCGCGTGTTTTTTTCTCCAACGCGTTATACCGCCAAGACTTGCGTTGAGTGCCTCTCCTTCCACTTGACCCACTTCTCTCCTCTCCTCGTGTCTCCAGGTGTCATCGGGCTGGTGGCCTTGTACCTGGTGTTTGGTTATGGAGCCTCTCTCCTCTGCAACCTGATAGGATTTGGCTACCCAGCCTACATCTCGTAAGTAGCTCCCCCTGCAACCATCCTTCCTCCCCTTCCCCCATCCAGGGCTGCCCTAGTTACTGTATCCCCAGTTTCCCGGAGAGAGCAGTCATAGCACCACAGGGTAGTAACTGACTGCTTAGGGTTACACATTTGAGAGCCTTAACTTGATGCTTGATCTTTTGATGACTAGCTGAAATGTCTATTTCATCAGATTATACTGAATGTGTACCAAGTCGTTCTGCCTTCACTGGTGAGGAGCTCTCAGCCTGTACAGAGAGCTGATTCCTTATTCTTTTTTTTTTTTTTTTTTTTGTACAGATAGAGTGGGAGGGAGAGAGAGGGAGGGAGAGAGAGTGAGAAACATCGACGTGAAGGGACACATCGAGTGGCCGCCACCCGCACGACCAACCAGGGCCGGGGACAAACTGCAACCGAAGTATGTGCCCTTAGCGGGAACCGAACCCGGGTCTCTCCGGACCGCAGGCCGACGCTCTAACCGCTGAGCCAAACCGGCCAGGGCTGATTCCTTATTCTTAATAATTATTTTAAGTGTATTTCACCTTATATCCATATACAAAGACAGTAAAACCCCATCAGTTAGGACTTCCTTTATTCTGAATTAATGATAATTCAGACACTGAGGAGAATTTTGTCCTGATTTTTAAAAGGCTTGCCAGAAGAACCATATGAGATTTCACTCATTTGTGGGATATGAAACAGAAAGCAACACACAAACAAACTCATAGACAACTGTATGGTAGTTACCAGAGGGGAAGGGGGGGGGGATGAAGAGGGTAGAGGGGATCAAATATATGGTGAGGGAAGGAGACTAGACTTTAAGTAGTGAGCATACAATGCAGTATACAGATGATATATTGTAGAATTGTACACCAGAAACTTACATAATGTTATTAAACAGTGTTACCCCAATACATTTAATTTAAAAAATAAATAAGAAGAAAAATAAAAAGGCTTGTCAGTTATTGCAGGCAAACAGGAAACATCCTAACATAAAAACAAAGACCTTATGAGCCCAGCCAATGTGACTCAGTGGTTGAGCATTGACCCACCCACCAAGAGGTTGCTGGTTCCATTCCCAGTCAGGGTACTTGCCCAGGTTGTGGGCCAAATCCCCAGTAGGGGGCATGCAGGAGGCGGCCAGTCAATGTTCTCTCTCATTGATGTTTCTGTCTCTCTCTCCCTTCCTTTCTCTCTCAAATTAATAAAGGGAAAAAAAAACCTTATGCAATGCATTCCTAAATAGCTCCTTGGTTATATAGATAAGTTATGTAAATAACTAAATTACAAATGAATCTTATCAGGTTAGGAGCTGAATTATTTATTTGTTGAGGTTGTTTTTACTTTACATTGTGTTTATTTTGAAATATTCTACAGTTTCATTTTTCCATGCATTCAAATAGGAATTATTCCTCACACAAATGAATTTTGTTTTACTGTACAGCTCTTCCCAAGAAAGCTGGTGGGTTTTACTTTCATTGAATTGGTTTTTGCAACTTTCCTCAACCATAGGGACAAAAATAAAGGTAGAAAAATTTTCAACTAGGAGCTAAGGCACAGGTAACATACCTTGTGTGTATTATTGGAAGGGAGGAAACATGTTTTAGAAGTTTTAATTTGAACAATTATATTGAAATTATGTAAGTAATAGGTACCATGTTAGTCTGGTGTACTTAGTGGCACTCCAAAAAGTCTAGCTACATATACGACACTGCTAACTTATGAATTTGGAGATCTTCAGGCTTCATGTTGAGAAGGGCTTTTACCCTCTCCAGCATTACCTGCTACAGCACCATCCAGGTTTTATGTGAATACCAAAAGGTTCCGGAGGCAGATCAAAAAAACTAGTTTGGTTTTTCAGATCAATGCAAGAGGTACGAGAATATAGTTTTCCACTGAATGTAATCTACTGATATATGGTGTATATAGCAAGTTTGTAGATAACCCTGATTCCGAATGGCTTGCCTACCGCTGTGTCTGCGATAACGAAGTCATGCAGTTGTACACTCCTTTACTTCAGTTTGTGTAGTCTACTTGTGGGAGCTCTTTTAAAAAGAAAGCTTTTGAAGTATTTTTCAGGTTTGTGCTCTAGATGTTACCACATTTAGAACATATCTGGTATGGCAGTTTAGTACTGCCTCACAGCTTGAATTATATTGAATTAGCATATATGGATTTTTAAAAATACTGAATCACATTAACCATGCCCCCCAATCAGTGCCATTTGGTACATAATCTTGTGAGAAACATAACTGGTCTGTTGGTCAGATGAGATCATTGCTGTGGACTGTAGAAAGATAAAAGTCTGTCTGTAGGTGAATAGGTAGATCCATGGATATGTGGAAGTGGATATGACCGAAGATGTGGACAGAACACAAATATACTTCTCCTTGACCTGGAGTGAATTAATTCTAGCAGGGGCCATTTTACACACACACACACACACACACACACACACACATCTGTTTTTTAATTTTTTTTTTTATCCTCACCTGAGGATATTTTTCCATTTATCTTCAGATAGAGTGGGAGGGAGAGAGAGAAACATCAACATGAGAGGGACACATTGACTGGCTGCCTCCTGCACGACCCTGACCAGGGCTGGGGACTAACCTCAACTGAGGTACATGCCCTTGGCCGGAATTGAACTCGTGACTCCTCGATCCGCGGGCCCACACTCTACCGCCAAGCCAAACTGGCCAGTGCCTAAAGTCATATTTTAAAGTAGTTTTAAGCCAGCTGATTTCAGCTTCATCATTTTAGTAGTCATTCTTTCATTCATTTTATACGTAGCCACTTGAATATTACTGATTCTTTTTACTTACAAGAAGCCAAATGTTTCTGTCTATTGCTAAGAATTCTGTGAAATGGCTGAGACAGTCATTTCTGAGTTGTTCAGGTAAGTGGGTTTTGTATATTTTAGAATTATTCTATTTACCAAGTATATGCACTTTGTTTTCTTTCCTACTTGAATATTCTAAGGCAAAATGACATTTGTCATACATCTTAATAAGAGTTAGAAAAATATTTAAATTCTAATAGAGGGAATTGAATGATTTAAGCAAAAGTTCAGGAAATAATGAGTATTTCTGGATTAATATTTATTCATAGGATGCTTCCTTTTGGAAGACCCAACTCTTTTACCTTTAAAATAAATACAAGATTCTATGACAATAAGGGAATTAAGTAAAGTTTGGTATCTGGGTAATTGGACTTGTCCCTAAAACAGTGGTTCTCAACCCTGATGCCCATTGGAATTATCTGAGGAGTTTTAAAAAATATTGATGCCAGTTTCCACCCCTAGAGATTCTGATGTAATTTATCTGAGATGTGGCCTGGATTTGGGATTTTTAAAAATCCTCAATCTTGCCCTGGCCGGTTTGGCTCAGCAGTTAGAGCATCAGCCTGCGGTCCAGAGAGACCTGGGTTCGGTTCTAGCTAAGGGCACGTACCTCGGTTGCAGTTTGTCCCAGGCCCTTGTTGGGTCATACGGGAGGCAGCCATTAGATGTGTCCCTTTCACATCAGTGTCCCCCCCCCCCCCCCCATCTGAACAAAAAATGGAAATATGTCCTTGGGTGAGGATAAAAAAAAAATCCTCAATCTTTTAAAATTTTTAAAGGATTCCAATGTGCAGTCAATGTTGAGAACCCCTGTTGAAGAGTGACATCAGTAACCTGTGCTTGTTACACTTGAAGATGGGGGGAGGGAGTGGGTGAGGCCTGCTGACCCTGGGAACAGCCCAGAAGTCTCCTGGCCTCTGCTTTGTGAGGGAGGTTTAAGGAGACACGGGCCTGTGCGCACAGAATAAAGCATGCAGCCCCCCAGTTAGTGAGCATTCAGGCAATCCATGTTACAGTCATCTACTCAAATCTGTGCATTGCTTAACCCATGTGATTTCATCATTGTCAGAAAGAAACATGGTATTAATAGCACCTAAATCGGTGTTAACTTCAAGTGTGATCTGTGATCACCTTCACTTTAACTGTTCTTGCCTCTTGTGATTTGCCCTGTGCTCCCTAGCCGGATTTATTTTTTTAAATACAGGTTCATCTATGCAGCAAAAATCAAATGCCAGCTGTGAGCCAGGCACTGTGGCAGCACTTTAGATTTAGACCAGGGACTAAGGTTGACATGCTCTCCATCCTTGTGAATGAACAGCCTACTAGGATAAACCACAATAAAAAGTCAAGTAGTGACAGTGCATTAAGCTCCCCAAAGAAAATCAACAGGGAGCTGTGGGAGAGAAGAAGAGGAAGGACTCCAGTATTTCTTTGAAATCCTCTGAGTTAAGGCCTGAGAAATGAGAAGGGGCCAGCCAAGAGCAGAGCCAGGCAGGGGCAGCAGCTTGTGCCAGTCCCAGGGCAGCGGGTGCAGGGGAAGCTCTGTGAGGAAAGAGCAGTGAGGAAGGACTGGAGAGGTGTGAGTGCCACCCGCCTGGCCAGTGGCTGGCACACAAAGTGTGCATTTTATTCCAGGTGGTTGTAGGGAGTTTGCATGTTTTCTGGTAGTCTTGGGTGGATTTTGTTTTGTTTTTATCCTTTTCGAGGACATTCTTGCATTTTTCTTCAGATAGAGCAGGAGGGAGAGAGAGAGAAACATCGACGTGAGAGAGACACATCGAGTGGTTGCCATCCACATGGGCCGGGGACAAACTGCAACCGAGGCACATGCCCCCTGCGGGAACCGAACCCAGGTCTCTCTGGTCCGCAGGCCGACGCTCCAACCGCTGAGCCAGATCGGCCAAGGCTTGGATGGGTTTTAAATGGAGTGTGAGATGATATGTAAAGGTCATTCTGACTGCTGTGACCTTCAGAAGGAATTGGTGATCCTGCCAAACTATTGTCTACCCCTTCTTTTGTGACCTTTCATCATTTGCTCCTGCTGTTTCCTCTCTTTGGACCCTCGTGGAGAGGGGTCCACAAATTTGTGCAATGGTCAACATTGGGCCTAGCGGCTATAGGGTGCAGAAATAAAATTTGGAAAAGCTCATTTGGC